ATAAAGTATGTTAAGATGGGAGAGTCCTTTCCGGTGGTTAATGAAGTCAGGAACTCAAAATGACAGGGAAGTGTATGAATCTATATTTTCTATTTAAATATATGTTTTCAAAGTATTTTAATATCATAAAAACATTATAAATAGCATTAACTTTTCCCTTTGTTTATTTCATGTTCTCAGCCATAATATAAACTTTTTCCCTTGCTTTTATCTTAATTAGATGGCTTAAACTGCTCTTTTGACCCACTTAGAGACAAAAAAAAGTACTATTGAATAATTTTCAACAACAAATAAAAATGTTTTGCATAAATTAAACAACTGTCAGCATAACTTTAAACCAACGACAGCAATATATGAACTCCGAACCGAATTGCTGGCCAAATGCGAAAAGTTGGCTTAGCCGTGAGCCAAAATAAAAATAACAAAAATAAAACGAAGCGTAAAGAGAGGCGAAAACTTTTGAAATAAAGTCAACAATAAAATGTGCCAATTGTGATTATGTGCCAGGAGAATATAATTAGGAAAAGCTTATAAGCTTTTCCAACCCCTAAAAACAAAAGGAAACTCAAGCAGGTAAAAGAATACGGTCATAAAATGCAGAAATTATGCTGGAAATATCCGCTAATTTAGGGTCACAATAAGAGAAGCACCTCAATTAGTTGCTTATTTAATTGTTTTTAGCATTACGCAAAACCTGTCATCATATTTTGTATGTTCGGAATTTGTTTTTTTGCAGCCTGCATCGCTGATTGAATAATAATACCCCAGTCTGGTTATTATATAAAAAATATGCAACCCTGTGAAGATTGATAATAATGGGGAAATGTGGGCTTCAGGTCCACGTGTCCCGGTTTAGTCTGCACGCGATTCTTCCCCGACCACGATTCCGGATTTATCCATCGCCGCCGCCATTGCGTCTGCCGCCTGTCGCCAAAAAAGTGGCTAAAAACGTGATGTGCATTGCAAATCGGCATACCCATCACCGCGTCTGTGTAACAGGAGAGGAGCTGCTGCATCCACCACATCCTGGCATGCACCTGTCCCAGCTCCCCCACACCCACGACGGCGACATGAAACGCTTGCACTTTTGTTCGTGTCCTTCGTCGGAGGGGCGCGAAAAATTGAATAAGCTGAGGGAAGGAGGGGAATGTGGTTCGCGGCAAGAGATTTGGGATGTAAAGAGGACTTCCTAAGTGGCAGCTCGTCGCTCAAGTGTCCATGGCCAGGATTCGCTATGCGTTTCTGTGGGAATTTCACACGTCATTAGCCAGGAAAGGAAGGGTGTCCTTATGGCGGCTAAGGTGCTTGTAAATCAAAGTCGGGTTTTGATATTCTCAAAGGAAAAAGCTAGTTAACCTGATTTATATCCATCAAGTTAGCAGGGTAGATATGGAAATTTAAACTTTTGATTGCACCATTATTTGCCATTTGCATATTTTAATTCAGTTTCAAAAATATGTGATATATATATATATTGAATCCCCCCTATGTATATTTCCTTGTAAATATATGTATAATAAGCGACTAATTTTTCCATATTTTTCAAAGGGGGAATGAAAAGCAATCAATTTTAAAAATAAGTTAATTTTTCGCTTACCGATTTTCTTGTTTCGGGTTATTTCTTCTTCTTGATCGTCTATTTCTTGTTGCATTGAAAATTAAATTACACACGGCACACTTAAACTCACAATATTTCCTCTTTTCTTCCTTTCTCTATTTTTCTCACATAATTAATTCAACACTTAAAAAAAAAAACAACAAAATATATTTTTTCTTTTTTATTTTATTTATTAAACACTTTAAAAAAACAACAAAAAATAAATTTACTTCTTCATTGACAATAAGAAGTGGGAAAGGAATGGAAATACCTTTAAGATTACACAAACAAATAAACACACCACCTTCGGCATACTTTTTCACCACTGCACTTTTATATTCACTCGTTTTATACGCGGACTTGTATGACAATTATAACAGTTGGTTCAAAACACACCACAAGAAAGTTTTTTTGCATTTCCTTCTTCGTAGAGTTCGCTTGCCATGCACACATACACGAATATGCAGCGGCTCCAACACACACATACGTAACGGCGGCTGCTGCGGTCTCACATCGTCCGCCGGAGTCTCAGAAGTTTTTATTGCAGTTTTAGTGGCTAGTGAACTAATTTAAAATTGTATTTACTTAATCACGTATGCGTTATTTATGAAGTTCAACTCAGCACTTGCACTATTTTTGATTTTTTCGCATTCCGTTTGCCGCTGCCGCAGCTTCAGTTGCAAGGAAAAGCGGCGCTCACTTTGCATTCACTTTAATTCATTGAAAATCCATAGGTTTCATGATTATTTGATTATCCCCGTGTAATATGCATTTAGTTTAACCGATTTATTAGTTTTTTAAGTGTTATTAAACGTTTTTTCCGCACTAAAAACGTTTTTTAGCAGGAGCACGCACCAACTTCGTGTGTTTTTCTTTCACTTCTCTCTTTTTGCCGCTAGAAATTGCTCTCTGCCATGGCAAGATCACGTGAGTGTCAAACGGTTTCCAATGGCGAAGAGAGCGAGTGAAAAGGAAAAGCCAAAGGAGAACAACAAAAAAGGCGCCAAAGTGTTGCTGCAGGTAAAACACTTTTATTGTTTGAATTTTTAAACTTATTTTATTAATTTCCTGCTAAGTTAATATAAAGCAAGCAAATTATTTAATTATTATTACAGCTATAAATTCTTGAACTTTAGTTAACTAACATTTTAATATATTTATTTAATATGGAAGTAGAAACCACTTAAACATATTTATCAGTGAACAGTACTGCCGTAATTTAGTCTATAAAATATATGACTTATTTTTTTAAAATGCATTTTTTATATTAAAATGCATTTTTAAACCTTGAGCTTTGAGCTTTCAGATTTCGCAGCCAACTGTTATATTTCCAAGCAGCTTTTTTGTATCCTTTTTCAAACTCTGAAGCTTTAATTTTTGTTGATACTGATTTTTATTTAAACCTTTTGTGTACCTAAATGTAAATTTAAAAAAGTAGAGAAAAGAAACTAACTTTGGGAAGAATATATCCAATTGGATCAGGGGTTGTATTGGAAAACGGTTACAGATTTCCTGTTAGTTTTTAGTAAATTAATAAATCTGCATACTCACTTTTAAATTAAAAAAATCAATGCATCAGAATCTGTTGTTTTTACATATTTTAAAAAATAAAACAATTAAAAAGTCTTTGTAACTTATTTAATTGGGGTTTATGTTTCTATGAAAAATGAATACAAGTACAAATTGATTTGCATCCGCAACAGCAGCACGTTTAGAAACCGTCCTCATCATCCTCGGCCATCTCCTTGGCCAATTCGAGGTCCTGCTGCTCTCGCTCGCGACGCTCCTCGGCGCTTTCAAGATCCTTGCCGTAGGATTTCGGCGGGTAGCGCATAGCCTTGACACTCTGGTTGTGTAGGTTCAGACAGAACGAGATGCGCTCGTGGAAGGCTAGCTGAGGCTCCCGGGTGCTGTAGATGTCGGTGCTTTCCTTGCTGCGCATGTAGTTCTGGGCCGGGTCCAGCGTTGCCTCAATAACACCATCACGGATGGCCTTCGATACGATGAACTCGGCGTCCTCGGCGGAGTCCAAGACCAGACGCTTGGCGATGTCTTGTGGCGAGATACGGGAGTACGAGAGCCCGATGGAACGGATAGCGGTCTTGATCACGTTGTGGCGCAGTCGGATAATTAAAGTGAAGGTGTGATCCAGCTGGAACTTGGGACCGAACTGCGAGACGACGTCGCCGAAACGCTTAAGGTTGCCCAGTCGCACGGCCTGCGTGAGCTGGAAGTAGGCTCCAAGGGACTGTCGCAGACCCGCCTGTCGGAATACAACTCGCTCCGGGATGTTGCCCAGAAGCAGCTCCACCACAATGATCAGCTTCTGTACGGTCTGGCGGAATCCAATGGCTGCGTGCTGCGGTGACTTGCGTAGAGCCTGGACCAGATGTTTGTGCGCATCACTGTACTCCAGCTTGGCGGCCTTGATGCGTCCCAAATAGTAGAGGAAACGAGCCCACTCGTTATTACTGGCCGACTCGGGATACACAGACTTCTTCACCAGCTTGTCGGCCTGATCATACAAAGCGTAATGCAAATAGTTGCGCAGCAGGCAGTTGATGAGCACCGCTTGACCCTCAAAGTCGTTGCGCAGTGTGGCAGTACGTAGGCGGGCGTGCAGGAAGGCACGGATTCCCTCCAGCGAGTTCTTTAGCTCAGCCACACGTGAATAGTAAAAGTAGGACTTGGCCCCGATCAAATCCAGGGTTCGACGGTTCTGAATCGAAATCTTTGCCATCAGGGCATCAGCGCAAACCCCGGCGCGCTGTAGGTCACTGGCATCGATCAGCTTAACCAATAGCAGGAGATAAAAGTAGGCATCCACCTCGGCAATTGGAACCTTGCTTGCCACCTGCTTTTTGGGTACATCGGGCAGCTCCGTCGCATCCTTCTCCACGGCGGGCATTAGGGCAATGGCAGCCTCGCGATCCGGCCCTGGAGGATATATGCTCTGGGCGAGATTACGGAAAACTACGCCGTTCAGCTTTCGACGTGTGTTGGGCAAGTTTCGAAGCACGCGCAGTATGAAGCTGAAGGATTTAACAGGAGTAACCATTAAATCTGGGCCATTTACAGACGCTTTACGTTCTTACCGAGATTCCTTTGAAGACACCCCCTTCTCAATTTGGCGAATCTGCTCGCGGATCTCCAGCACGGCAGCCGCATCGTGGTTCTTCTTCTCGTCCGCCAGCGTCTCGGCGGTGGGATCCACCTCCATCTCCACGTCCTGGGCACCGATATCCACTGCGCTGGTCATTCTGTAGAACTCTTAATTTTCTTTTAATCAAAATCAAAAATGCCGAGTAATGCTTCTAGAGATGCAAACAAATCGATTACAATCGAAACGTCTACTTTTCTTCCTCTTCTTTCCAGCTGGCTGACAGTATTGGAAAATGTTGCTAGCAAACCGATAACACTTTGCACGTTATCACTGGTTACCAAACGAAACTCAAAACAAGGAATGTGAATTAAAACCAATTTCTAAATAAGGAAACTAAAATGTTGCGGTACAGGCATGCGGTGCGTCTTCTTCAGCATCGTTCCTACTCGGCCGGGGCAGCCGGTGGCAGTGGAGGCACTGGCGATGAAGATAAACACCCGATTCGGCGTACATTCCGTTTGTTGGGCAACGATATGCGTAAAATAAAGGAGTTCTTTGTGCCAAAAGACCCGGTTTCCGAGGATCAAGGCGAATCCAGGGAGCATATCCTCACCCAGAGCAAATTTAAATTTGAAGGTGAACGGAAGCGGGATCCCACACTGCCGGATGAGTTTCAAACACACTGCGATGTCCTGGTCATTGGAGGCGGCGGCATAGGCAGTTCAATAGCCTACTGGCTTAAGGAGAAAGCGCGCGATGGCCTTAACGTGGTTGTGGTGGAAAAGGACGACACGGTGAGTAGATAAAACAATGGTCTTTTTAACCTTACTAAGATTCCTAATAATTAAAGTACGCCAAAGCCGCCAGCCGCTTCTCTGTTGGTGGTCTGTGCCAGCAATTCTCCCTGCCTGAGAACATTCAGATGTCGCTCTTTGCCGCTGACTTCCTGCGCAACGCCAGAGAACACTTTGGCAACGAGGTTCCATTGCAGTTCACGCCGCATGGCCACTTGTTGCTCGCCGGTGAGGAACAAGCGGAAAGCCTGATGCGCTCGTCTGAGCTGCAAAATGAACTTGGGGCTAGGAACGAGCTGCTGACGGCAGATCGACTGGCGGCACGATTTCCCTGGCTGAATACCAAGGGCATCGCTGTGGGCTGCCATGGCCTGGAAAAGGAGGGTTGGTTCAACTCGTTGGCCTTACTCAGCAACTTCCGTCGATCTGCCAGCGGTAACGGTGCACACTTCATCAGCGGAGAGGTGGTGGACTTTAACTTCCATTCCCAAACGGACATATCTGTGGTCGGAGATGCTGGATCCGATGAGGGCAACTACACTGGCCTGGACAAGGCAGTCATACAGCTTTCTGATGGAACGCGGAGCACCTGCAAGTTTGCCCTGTGCGTGATAGCGGCGGGAGCCAGTTCCGGGCAGGTGGCTCGACTGGCACGCATCGGAGAAGGTCCGGGAATGCTTCAGGTGCCGCTGCCAATAGACGTGCGCAAGCGTTACCTGTACGCCATCAACACGCAGGCAGCGAATGCTCCCGGCATGGCCATGCCGCTGACCATCGATCCCTCTGGAACGTTTATACGTCGCGACGGATTAGGTGGCAACTACATATGCGGCCACAATTTGCCAGAGGAGGCGGTCAGTGATAACGTGACAGTGGATCCGCAGCATTTTGAGAAGCACATCCGTCCCACGTTGGCAACGAGAGTGCCTTCGCTGGCCGATGCCAAATTAATAGACTCCTGTGCTGGCCTGTACGAGCAGAACGTCTACGATGAAAATGGAATTGTGGGGCCCCATCCGTACTACCATAATCTATATGTCGCCACCGGATTTAGCGGGCACGGCATCCAGCAGTCGCTGGCCGTGGGCCGGGCCATTTCGGAGCTAATCATGGACGGCCAGTTCCGAACCATTGACCTCTCACGCTTGAGCTTTGATAGGTTGATCGTGGACCAACCTATGTACGAGTTGAATAATGTTCTAAGTTAGGATTGTTTTGTTGGTGTGCATTGTAAGCTAAATGCAACTATTATTATTAACAGAACTAATCATTTTCTATTTAAACTGGCCGGGAGCGGGTCCGAAGAGACCGACGCCCTGCTTGCTGGCGGCACGCGACGGTGCAAAGCCCAACAGCTTCTGAATGTTCTGGCGAATGGACATGGTGCACAGGATGTACAAAAGATGAACGAGCAGTCTGTGTAGTCATCACCGGACAGATTTCGGTGGCTCAGACCCTGGATCCAGGAGATGGGCGTGAAGGGCAGTTGGGCGACGACACGGCCGTCAAAGATACTGTTGAACATGCTCAGGAGCGCGGTGAACGCAAAGCCGGTGGCGAACATGGACTTCATCTTCACCAACGACAGGTCACGATTGTTGTTCTTCAGCTTCTCCTCGTCCCGCTCAATCTTTTTCTTAACCGCCTTGTCCAAAGAGTCGCCATGGATCTCCTTGCGCCGCTCCACTGCAATAAGCAACAACAACATGTAACCTGCTGACACGACTGGCGAGGCTACAACTTACATTTCTTGCTCTGTTTTTCCACCTCAGTCTTCAGTTTCTGGTACTTTTCCGTGCGGTATACCAGCACCCAGGTGAGACCTTTCGGGGCGCAAATGATTAGTGGCAGTCAATTGCGGTCGGTTTTACTCACCTTCGCCCAAAAAGGCAGTGCACACAGATATAAAAACAATTAAAATTGTGTCGGCCCACATTTTTTCACCCTTTGGTCTATTAATGTTAATAAATTGCAAAAAGTTATCGATTGTCAGGTATCACTTATCAAACCAACATCGGTAAGCTTGTTCATTCATCTTGACAAGTTTACATAATCTATCGATAAGTTCGTTTAGATGTCGAGTATTTTTATTTATTCAATATTTATTTTAAAAAAATTCTAGAATTGGATTAATTAAATAATCTTGAAGAAATAAGAGACATTTTCTAGATATTAATACATTTTTAATAGATAGTCAAATTGCATAAAAAAAATTTTAATTCCAACGAACTTACACTGTATTATTATAACTGAAGATTCAAGTTTTTAAATATTTATAAATTGTTTTCTAGTGAAGATGGATAGATTTCATCGTCTGTTGATGCTAATTAAATATAATGTATATACTTGTAAATTACTGTGCCACCTTGTGGCTAAAATTATAATCTATCGATAAGTTGTTTTTTTAAATGTAAGTATTTTTTATTCATTCAATATTTATTTATTAAAAAAAAAGTTTAAATTAATTAATTAAAATATGGGAAATTTTCTAGGTTCTAATACATTTTTATTAGGTACACAAGTTAAACTTAAAGTAATACAAATTTATATTGTATTTTAATATCTGAAGTTTAAAGTTTTTAAATATTTAGTAAATCGTTTGCTAGTGAAAATTTCTAGATTTAATCGCCTGTTGATGCTGATTAAATATAATTTATATGCTTGTAACTGACTGTTTCGATACTTTGCAAACTTCTGACTTAAATTATAATACCCTGCAAGGGTATTTCCAAATTTATTTTTTTTATTTTATAAACCTATGATCCCTTAAAAAATCTGTATTAAAGCCTAATATTTATGAAGAAAAAACTCAATTTCGTTTTCTGGCATGGTCACAAGTTTGCCGACTGTTAAATTGTATTTCTAAAGTTCATTAAAATTTTTATGAAATATTGATTTTACATTTAATTAATCAATTATTTTCAGTTTAATATATTATATGTAGATGTAAGCATGTAACTTGCTGCAAAAGGAGCTTCTACATTCCGCCGGAAAGGCCAAATTCCATGCGTTGTCGCTGCGGCTGGGTGCTGCTGCCGTCGCACAGTTGACTGTGGTTGTTGTTCTTGTTTTTGGGGGTGAGGTGACGTTAGGCGCTGTAAAAAGCTACATTTGAGGAAAGAAATCAAATCAGGTTATATATATATGTATATATGTGAAAATATATATGTGCTATATATATATATGGAACAACAACAATGAGGAAAATCATGTAGAAAGGAGTTTTTTAAATTTCTAAAAAAGTTTCAAAATTTATGGAACAACGTATTCAGAAATATTCAAATTGAAGTGCGTTCGTTCGATCACTTCAAGTTGAACATTACAACGTCGTTGGGTATTGAGAACGCAAAAACGCTCGAAGGGATTGAAAAGGTTTGGGAGTACTTTAAAGAAGTTTTTAGTTGCTGTTTAATTTCTGTCTTGTTGCTGCTATTGTTGTTGTTGAATTGCTGATGTTCGATTTTTGAGAGTTATATTTTCAACGTTTATTAGCCGAATCTCAAGCCATTGCTTTCGCCTTAGCCTCAGCCTAGTAACGTCGACGGTCGCGATCACGACTGCGTGAACGTCGTCGTTCATTTGAACGATTCCGGCGCGTATCGCGCTGACGCTCACGGTCCTTCTCACGCTCTTTCTGCCGATCCTCCCGCTCCTTGATGCGCTGCTTGTGCTCTTCGATGCGTTTTTGACGGAATGCCTCCTTTTCTGCAATCTAAAATGGGGAAAAATTTATATTAAAATCGGGTTAAAATCGAGCCCTCTGTAGCGTATCCATAGCAACGAAGTAAACAAGACTTTTGCTCAAACTTACCGCTTCCGGCGTCAGTGGCAGCCAATAGATGCAGGGTGTTGCTTTAGTCTTACGGAATAGATCATCCAATAGCCTGATAGGAGGCTCATCCTTCTTTTTATTTTTGGCCACTTTATAAAAGAAAATAAATATATATATATATAGAATGCCCTGGAGAGTCACATCTTGTGCTAAAACTACCAGGTGATCCGCTACGACTACGACCAGGTACATTGCGATCACCGCCAACGATTCGGTCCCGTTCGCGTCCTCCACGCACCTCCCTGTCCCTAGAGCGTTTGCGATCCTGTCCGCTACGTTCCGCATCCCGGGATCTTGGCTCCAGTCGATCCTTGCTACCGCCTCGACGACGCTCGTTATTGGCCTTGTTATCGTGGTCAGTCGGCTCCTTTTTACCCACATCCCATTCTCGTACCGGGCGCACAGGCTGTTTGGTAATTATAATATTAATTAGCGGAATTCATACATCTCCGAGTTATCATCGTTTCCTACCTTTTTGTCTGTAACATCCAATCGAGACCATGTATTGCCCGCCTGCTGGTTATCCCTGGTGTTCTCCTGTCCATACCTGGGCGCTTCGTCCTTTGTCGATTGAATCGCACGGTCCATGTCCGTCCGACTGCCAAAATCCACGTTCAAGCACTTTGGATTGGACACTGGCCAGCGCACTCCGTGAAGAGCATGGCGTGTTTCAATAGCCTCGCTGCAATGATCAGAAGTAGTTATTAAGAAAAATTATATGAGTATCATGATCTGGATACTTACTCCTCTGTGGAATAGGCAACGTAGCACTTGGACTTAATGCGATCTATCCAGAACCCATCCTCATCAACAATCTTGCCTGTCCTGGCCAGCAGTCCCTTCAGCTGCAGCACTGTGAAGGGTCGCACCAGATTGGTGATGTAGAGCACGTGGCTGGCTCGATTGCGGGCTGGACTAGGAGAGCGGACTACGTGAGGAGCTGCCGTAGCGACGGTGGCTTTGCCTTGCGCCTTCACCGAGTCAGCAGTAGCTGGCGGGGAAGCTGTTCGAACGTTGGCTGCTCCTGTACTCTCCTTGTCCGCCGCCGACGACGCCTCTGCGCCTGTTTCGGGAACGTTGTTCTCGTTGTCGCACTCCCGATCCTTGCGAACCTCGGAATTGGCCCGGGTTGACGAAGCAGAGTGGTCGGAGTCGCGGTCGCTGGTGACGAGACCCTCCTCCTCCGAGGAAGAGTCCAATTGCACGTCGCTTAGGGGCACTGGCTGAACAACATCGTCGATGATATTCTTTAGGGAATCAGTCGAAATGGCCAGCACTGGTGGAGCACGATCAGATGACTTTTTATTCGTCAGCCACCGGCGCTTCTTCACCGAGCGCTGCTGCTGAAGCACAGCGGTGGCTGTGGTGCTGATTATGTTGGCGCTGCTGTTGCTATTGATGTTGTTGATCGCAGATGAGTCGTGCTTGTCCTTTTGAAGATCTGTGTCTTCTTCCTGGGTTTGTTCTGGCTTATCCTCTGCCTGCTTGCGGTTCTCCTTTTGCTCCTCCTGCTCTCCCTCTTCCGGATCCTCATTCTTGGCTAGGCTCCTTTCGGACTCTGTCTTCTGATCCTTGTGTTTCTTCTTCGAATCCCTACGCTCTGATCGTTGTGAACCAGGTGGGCAGCTGGCCGGGGCTTCTTCGTCCCTTTCTTCGACGTCTTCTATCTGAATGTCTAATACATCGCTTGATGTTTTTAGTTGTTCCTCATCCTTACCGGCCGTTAGGCTACCTGAAGGAGAAGGAACTTTTACCTCTTCAATCTGCTCGCCCTTGTGATTCCCATCATCCTCATCGGCAGCATCCATCTGGGGTTGGCCTCCTTCCTTTTTGCCATCATCCTTTTCCTCGGCTGCAATTGCCACTGTCTCGGCTTCCTCTGCGGGGGATTCCTGCTCGCTGTTGGCTGCTTTCTTAGTTGGCAATACGTTTATGGCTTCGACTTCCGGCTCGCTGTCTTTGCTGTCCGCCTCCTTTTCCTTTTCAACGTTATTGCTACACAGATCCTGACCGTTCTCGGCTTCCTCCTCTGGTATAGTTTCAACCTTCTTTTCGCCGCTCTTGGCCTCCGTCCGTTTCTTGGGCGTCGCGCGGCTGGAGCGACTCTTGCGCACTGGTGACTCGACGGGCTCCTCGCTGGAGGCTCGGGGCTCATTGATTTCTTCGCGAGAGGCGCTGGCTGGCGGCGGCTCCGGCGTGTCGACCTCCTTTTGGACAAGAGTTTCGTCCTCGGTCTTCTCGTTCTCAGACACCTTGCGGGAGCGGCGACTACGCCGTGCCGGCACCGGGGCGGGCGACGACGATTTTTTTCGCTCGCTGCGCCGTCTCATGGCTGTGAAAATCTCGGAGCAACACTGGAAAGATCTGAAATAAAATGCACGTCAACTCGTGGTAGACGCCGGCGACCCGACAAATTGCTAATGCACTGCAACCTGGGTCCACTTTCGTTGTTGCGACAGCACCTTGGCTCGAAAAGAAAATTTATTTGGCCAGAAAAAGAGCGTCAAAATCCGCCATCAATATGAAGGGTTGCTTTGGACATGGTTGGTGATGGCCTATCGTTAGCGGCTATCGATATATTTATCGATGTAGAAATCTCTTGCAAATTGTATTCAAATAACAACGTTATTAAGGTATTTAACGTTTAATTTAGTAACTTTTATTTTTCTTACATTATTTTCTTAAATTTTGTAATTTATTTATTTCCACACCCATATTTATACAAACATTTATTTTGTTATCGAAATGCATTATTACCACGCTTTGCAGCACTGTGCATTTCATAAGTCGGCAACTGCAACTGCAAGCAACAAATTTAAATAGGTTTAGGCTAAAAATGAACTAATCGTTACAAATATGATTGTGAAAAATATTTGGAAATTGACACAAGCGATGGGCAGGTTCCGCCCGATGGCTGTTGCGAAGCCTCTGGAATACTGTCACTCAGCTCCACAGCAGAGACACAATTTTCGCCAACGGACAGAATGCCCAGGAACGCTGAGAGCCTTTGTGGATCCGATAGCCAGAACAGCTCCTCCAGGATCTAGCTCGTCCGGACATATGATCTGGGCATTCACCGCAGCCTTTACGCTGAATTTGTTTGGCGGCAGCGATGAGAAGGAGGAAACGCCCGAGGACAAGTTGGTTACAACGATCAAGCGATCGATCCTGTGCATCCAGAGGGAGCAGTACGACAAAGCCGAGCAGATGCTCCATCTGGCCCTGCGTATGGCACAGGATATACAGAGCAAGGAGGGCGTTACCTATGTGTACGACATTATGGCTAACCTGGCCATGGAACGGGAGCAGTTCAAGAAGGCGGAGAAGATCTTCACTGACGTGATGAAGCGACTCTTTGCGGATGGACACACCGAGGAAAGTCCGAAGGTGAGTTAATCATGAAAACTTTCGCTGTAACTCTGATCTCTTGTAACGTTCTCAGATACTGCACATCAGCTCCAAAATAGCGCACATGTCCCAGCTGCAGGGTGACCTGGAGAAGAGTTTTCAGGGATTTACCTGGACGCTGCAGCAGCTGGGAAAGCTCTTGGAGAAAATGCCTGACGACAAGGACATACAGGAGCTATATGGCTTGACAAAGAATTGGTATTGAAGGTGTTTCCATTGTAACTACCGATTTCCCAACTAACAAAAAGTTCCACACCTTTGCAGGTTCGGCCAGTTACTTATGAAGCAGGGCAAGTATATGGAAGCTAGGAAGCTCTTCCAAGAGGCTTTTGATGCCCTAATTGAAGTGTACGGCGCCGTCAATGAGGCTTCTATCACCATCCTCAACAACATCAGTGTGGCGTACGTGAATGTGGGTCTTTGAAGTAATCCCATAAATTACTCAATTAATCAGTGTTATCTATGCCAGGTTGAGAAGTATACCGAGGCCCGTGAAACCCTTCTGCAGGCCATTGAACTGGCCAAGGAGCTGAAGGACGTGGCTCAGGAGGGTATTCTGCAGGCCAATCTGGGCCTGGTGTACCTGCGCGAAGGTTTGACACAGCAGGCGGACAACGCCTGCCGGCTGGCCTGGAAGATGGGCAAGAAGCACAAGAATCCCGATGCTATCGAGCAGGCCGAATATTGCCTAGACGAGATCAAGGCCACTCTGAATGGAGAGAAGCGTTCGTGAGATATCTTTCACACTGTATTTTTTGACTATTTAAAAACATTTAATTACAAAGTAAAGTGTAAATGTTGACGGCTTAACAACTAATGCCAGCATGATTCCATTTCGACAAGTAAGTTTCCTCCGATCCTTGCGAACTGGGAGAATGTATGGGTTGCTTCAAGGCATCGCAAAAGGAGAATCTGAAGACCTGCTTAACATTTTTAAGTTTCTTTTTGAAGGAACCGAGTTCTACTCAAACTTGGCAATGACAATCATCAGGGCCACGCCGGTGAGCAGGGCGAATATCTCCTTCAGCGATTGCTTCAGCTTCGTGGATTCCTCCAGCAGCTCGGGCAGCACACTGACTGTGGCAATGTAAATGAAACCACCGGCTGTGAAGGGCAGCACCCAAGGCGCCGATCCGTCACCGCTGCCGGCTCCCAAAAGAGCCAGCGCTGTGCCCGCAATCGCACCAAGAGCTGTGACCAGCTGTAACATCATCGCCTTGCGCCGTGAGCAGCCCGACTTGATAAGGATGGCGAAGTCGCCAATCTCATGCGGCACCTCGTGCAGCAGGATGGTGATGGTGGTGATAATACCAATGCTATTGCCAGCCAAGTAGGAGGCACCGATGGCCAGGCCGTCGGTGAAGTTGTGGGCAAAGTCGGCAGCCAGGTTCAAGTAGCCAGAGATCTCCACTTCGCCCTCCGGCTCGGCTTCCTGTTTCTTGGCTTTCGGCTTGGCAGACGCCTTATCCCCATCCCCATTGTCCTTGCCCGACTTCTTCTTCTCAGGCACTGGCTTGGGTTTTGGGGAAGCGTGGCTGTGACCATGTCCTCCCTTCAGGATGCGCACTAGTTTCTCCACAGACAGGAAGGCAATAATGCCACCAAGCACCCACAGACCGACGCTCATGTCGTGGCTGTGCGCGTGGCCATGTCCATGCTCCTCTTCTTCGTGATGATGGTCATGTCCATGGTCGTGATCATGGCCGTGCTCTCCATGGCTGTGTGGGTGCGTGGCATGTGGAATCAAGTGCAGGAAGGCATCGCCCAGCAAACCACCGGAGGCAAACGCCAGCAGAACCTTGAGACGCGGCTTCATCGCTTCGCTGTTGTCGAGCGGAATGATGTAAAGTAGAAGGAAGGGCGCGGCGCTGATAAGCAGAGTGGATCCAATCGAGTGCAGCCAAATGGTGCTCATATCTGTGGAAAGTCCGAGTCAGTTAACACACTTTCAGGGGAGTACAGATGTCTGCAGTCTTTCTTACCCAATGCCGGCTTTGCATGACGCTCTTCGCGCCCGTGGTGATGATGGCCATGGTCGTGGTCGTGGTCATGATGATGATCATGATCATGATGTCCGTGGTGATCGTGATTATGGCCGTGGTGATGGTGATCATGATCATGATCATGATCGTGGTCATGATGGTCGTGCACTACCGGCGGAGCCTTCTTTGGATCAAAGTTTTCATTGGCTTCCCGCGAGTATTTGAAACTGGGATTGCCCTGGCCGGCGCATAAGGACGGCAGGGAGAGGAGCACGATTCCGAGGATAATGCCCAGAGCCAGCTTCTGGTAAAAGTGCAGCTTGCTGTCCGCGAAATCGTCCACTTGTTTGGCCATTTTGACTGAATCTCTTTCGGTGCGTGGGACTGCGGCAAAAAGTGTTGTGACGTGTGTGTTTTTTTTCTTGCTGCGTACTGCAGCTATCGATAGCCGATGACTGTCAGTCGATTGTACGTGCCTCGATGACAGTTTTAAAAGTATTACGTATTTTTCATTTGATTTATTTCCCTCAGTTAAATAAATAAGATAAGCTTTTTTTTAATGAAAATATATTTTAGAATAGGCAGGTTACGTTGAAATAACTAAAATTTTTGTTTGTAAACCATATTAAATGTTTAAAGTAATTTAAATTTTTGTTTGCATTTTAAATTGTTTAATAAAGGTAAATAAGAAAGAAATTTAAATTATTTAATAAAGGAAAACAAGATCATTAAATTTAAATTTTAAGTCGAGCCTAACTAAGGCAAAAATGTATTGATTTAAATTCGGAAAGCTTTTCTGTGTTAGTTTTTATTAGGCTAACAAATCGACATGCTCAATTTAATATTTAAGCAAATTTAAATTTTTATCAATTTTTGAAAATTTTGACGATGTAACCCCTTATCTTTTTTTTTAAATTTCGAAAAAATGAAAGGTATAAAAATGTTATATAAAATTTTTGTAGTACAAATAAAAGTCCTTTGAATATACTATCAGGGATATTCTATTGTAATATAATTAATTAACTGACCCTGAAATTAATTTTTTTCCCACTTTCCCATCAGTTATAAAAACCACCCATTTTGAATTATTTTAAATTTGTATATTTGCAATTTAATGACTATTAAATATCTTTAAGCATTTAGTTTGTTTCCTATTTGTTTTTATCGTCACCAGACATTTGGTTAAACGAGGCTAATAACTAGACACTTGAAGGGTGCACAATAATTTGTTGTATGTATAACGATGCCGTTGCTAAGCCGTTTACAAAAAGAACGCGTAAAATTCGTCGGTGTTCAATAAATAGTTATGTAGTTCGAGTTGCACATGACACGGCAAATGTGGGTGTGTGCTGTGAGTGTGTGTTTCGGTGTTCAGAGGTGCTGATTTCCCATATGTATGTATATATACAAGCCACTTTGGTTGCTGGTTTCCGCTGCCGCTGCTGATGCTGCTCAGTACAGATTGATCTTCTTGAGTATTGTCTTGCGACACATGTGGCAGGTTCGCAGCGTCTCGGCGCAGTGGGAACAAGCTCCGTGGCCGCAAAGAAATGCCACATCCCGCTTCCGCTCCATGCAAATCCCGCAGAAATGCGACTCCTCAAACTCCTGCACTTTGTTCTCCAGATAGCGCAGCAGATCACCCGATGGCAGGCGTGTAGGATCACTGGGCGACGACGTGGACGTGGGCAGGGCCACGACCCGACCACTGACAGTCAGACGTCTCTCAATGACAACTCCACAACGCAGACACTTCTTCATCCGGATGCCGCACTCCTCGCACGCGATCTGATGCTGGCACGGCTCGAATCGAACCAATTGCAGGTTCTCATTGCACACGATGCACTCCTGGGGACCCGAAACGATCACCGGACTGGGGCTAGGACCCGCCGCCCCAGCCTCCGAGGTGCCGGATGTCACCGGCGGCTTTGGTGCCTTCTTACGCGGCGCCACCTGTGGTGAAACATTCTGTTGCACAGAATCCGAGTTGAGTTTTTTCACGCCTGGCGAGGCAGAAGGCGTACTTGTAGCGGCTGCCGCAGCTGCTGATGGCGATGGTGTGTCGTTGGGCTTTGGTATTAAATCCAGTTGCTGGCGTTGTGGAGGCAGTGGCACTGCTGGAGCTGGAGCTGCTGCTGCTGGGCCGGCTCCATTTGATTCCGCTTCCTCGCTGCCAGCAGCTGCCGACATGTCGAGTGCCTGCAGGTTTCTTGGCAGCGCATCAGTTTCACCCTGTTGGCCAAAGATCAACTGTCGGATGTTGCGGTCCGTAATCCATTCGAATATGCTAGCATTGGCGTTGTTCAGCTCTACGCGGCAGCCGGCCCTTGAGAGATAGATCAGAATGCTGTACATGAGTCGATCCTCCGGACGCACGCTTGTCTGCACCAGGCTCTGGTAGAACTTGTGTATCTCGGGCGCCTCCTCAGGTTGCGGCTCAGCAGCTGACTGCAGATTAGACTTCTTGATCACACACAGATGCATGGCATTGTCACCGTCCTCGTCCTTAGCATTCACGTCACAGGAGAGCCGCACCAGGCGCTCGATCACACCGGCATGACCCTGCGAGACGGCCAGCAAGAAAGGAGTCTGCCGACGATTGTTGCATATGTCCAGCTCTGCCTGTCCCTCGGTGACCAGTGTCTCCACCACCTGGGCGTGTCCGTTGAGTGCAGCCAAATGGAGAGCAGCAAAGCCGTCGTCCTTGCGCACGTTGACCAGCTGACGGGAGAGCAACAGGATGCGGCGAGCGGCCACCACGTTGCCCTTGAGCGCAGCATGATGAAGCACGTTGAAGCCGCGGTTATTCTTCACCGTGAAGTCCAGGTTGGGAGCGTTGCAGAGTAACTCCACGACCTCCGTGTTCTCCTTACCGATGGCGTCGTGCAGTGCTGTATCTCCGTACGAGTCCTGGATGTTCACATTGGCGTTGTGCTCCAGCAGTTCGCGGACGCAGTGTGGCGTCTTCTTGTGCGCACAGATGTGCAGGGCAGAGCAGTGGCTAGAGTTGAGGAAGTTCACCTCGGCTCCATTCTGCAGCAGCACTCGCATCGTGGCCGGTTGATTGCCAAAAGCGGCATAGTGCAAAGCAGAGTCGCCCTCCTTGTCCACGGCATTGACGTTGGCTCCCTTCGAGATGAGGTAGGCGACCAGTTCGACGTAGCCCTGGTGCGATGCCACCTGGATGCAGGCCTTGCCGCCACTCATTACGTCTACCTGGCCGGGATTAACGTCTAGGTATTGGCGCACAAAGTCCAGATGTCCCTGGGCGGCCTCCCGCACCAGCTTATCGGCAACAGAGCTGCCTGAGAGGCCGGATAGCGGGGTCATAACATGATCGGCTCGTCGGTGACTCAGATCCATCATACTATTGGAGCGCTCGGCAGCCGTGGCGAGGGGCGAACGCTCCAGCTTGACACATTTGGGATTGAGGGTCCATTCGAAGCCATCGTCTAACTGCTGAATTCGCAGGTCTCCATCAGAGTAGACCTTCACTACCTTGCAGAGTTTTCCCAGAGCCTAAAAGATAAGTGTTGCTTAATATTCTTTCAAAAGAGTAAAGGTTTTCCACTTACATATCGCATAATTTCAATCCATTCACCGTGTCCTTTCTGCAGCTGCTGCACCTTGTTCGCATCGTTGATGATGGTGACCAGATCGCCGACACGAAACGAGACAACCTTGACGAGGGCGGCGGGATGAAAGGTCCAGCGATTGGGACAGTTCTCGTACTGGACACTGCAGGGATAAAAATAATATTAGCAATAATACTTAGATTAAAATATCTAGCAAGATTCTAACCGTATGTCACCCTTGTCCGTGATACGATGGACGGTGCCCAGCTTGGACAGATGCTCGACCATGCGCGGATTCCATCCGCCGTGGCCCTGTTGCAGCTTCATCAGGGCATCGACCTCTAGGCAAACCTTGACGCGGTCGCCCACAGAAAAGCTTGGCTTCACCATAGGCGCCACCGGCTGCAACTCCTCCGGTTGTCCCAACACTGGCATATGATCCTTGTAGTAGTGTCCGCCGGCAGTGGCTGCTATATACTTGAGGTCTACGTTGCCCTTATGGCCCAAACGATAGACGTTCGTCGATCCTGTTACCCACGAGACGTTGGCCACGCTGCGACACGATTCGTTGTCCCAGCCACGAATTTCCATTACACGCCCCGTCTTGCCCTCACCGCCGTCCTGTTCGCTCCACTCCCAGTCGGGACCGCGTACCACCTTGGCGCCCACAAAGATGCCGCGTAGTTGAATGCGCTTGGAGTTTTTCCGCGTTGGCACACGCACTCCCAATGAATTGGGCGTAGTATAGCGAATGAAAGGATGCTCCAAATCGTGCAGATCCTCGGCGTAGCAGTAGGCGCAGAGATGATAGTTGGCACACTGGGCGCACTTAAAGACTATGCCGGCAATGCCTGCCTTTGAGCAGCCATCACAGACAACATTTGAGTGACGAACTCCTGTGGGTTGTTATAGAAAAGGTATCGTATTGTAATACATATTAGTCGGAATTAATTAAGAATCAAATAACATAAGGTCTTTCAGCTTACCAACTTGAGCATTATCCACAATTATCAGATCGTACTGGTTTTGATAGCCCACCCGGTAATTGGTACGATGTCCGGAATCCCAATTAACCACCACAGTGTTCTCCGGTGAATGTGTAGATCCGCAACGGCCAATTTCGCAAACGGTTCCAACGTGACCTTCTCCGTCGTCTATTGTGTAAGGAATGAAACAAAGTTGGGAAACGCTTTAGAGTTTGTGGCATAGGAGAAATCTAACTGCAGCCTGGCTCCTCTTTGGGGCTGGAATTGTACATTGACGAGTACATCCGGTGGATGTCCGCCATGTGCAACGCATACGCAACGCATCCTCCACACCGCGCCACGGCTATAAATACCCGGAATCATTGACTGACTCGGGCTCAGGCTCCAAGCGGATCTGGTTATGCACTCGGACTGGGACGTGCAGCTGCTCTTTAATTACCCAACCAACACACGCGGGCGTGAAATCATTCTCGAGAGGGTGACATTTAATGTTAGCCTAGGGAAACCAACGTCTGTAAGTTTTTTGTTTATGTCTATTTTCAACGCACCCCAGACAACAGCCGGTTTTCTGGGGGAGCCAGAGGAGCCGGGTGGGCCAAAAATAAACTCTCCACACTCTCTCCCCAAATCGGCAGAAGCAGAGCCTGCTGGAACTGCTCGCGTGGGGATCGTGGTGTGGCTAAAAATAAACACTCCAAAATGGAGACAAAATGGCACGCGCCCTTGCTGTGCCCTGACAGCCAGACTTTTGCCGCAGGGCTCTTGGAGGAGTAGGGGAATTCCTGCTGTGACCTAATCTGTGTGTGTCATGTGTGTGTATGAGTGTGAACTCTGGCCATGTGCAGCTGCATTTGGAGCCTCTGGGCTTGGTGGGAATTGTATTTTTAACAGTTGCTAAGACCGAGGCAGTTGGTAACAGATAATTTGTAGCCTTAAAAAGTGTCATTTTGCTAGGAATTAAAGACATAAGTTATATGGCATTGATAATTTCTAGAACTTAACTATAAACCATTTATGATAGTTAAATAGAATATAGTAAAGTTTTAATAGTTAAGTCCACGGAATTCCCAGAGTTTTGAGGAATAGAACTTGCTTATAGGCAAAGTAGGATTTTTTGAGGGTACTGAAGGTAAAACTTTTGTATTTATTCTATGATAATATCAATTATATGTATTAATTATATGATTAATAACAGAATATTTTCTGGGTTTAATATCATGTAAGATCCATTTTCAAAATGCTTGAAATAATCCGGAAATTTACACAAGCTAAGAACCTTACTTTCAGCTAAGGAAAATTAATTCAATTAAAAACTACGCAATATTATTGTTTGCCTTAGAACTTATTTACCTGCCAACCCCGCATAAGGTAGGGTGTGAGCTTTGTATATATACGTTGTATCGAGAATCGAACTATACACATATCCCCGCCATATATGTATGGACCATAAAACGAAGCGACGAAAGCAGAAGCAATTGGTAAGCGCAAGAATTTCGCCGTTTGCTGCTTCTGCCGCCGCAGTGAGTGTTGCTAAAAATAGCGAGGCGCGTCCTCTTTACATACAACAACGCCCCGAGCAGTGGCAACGGACACGGACACGGACACGGGCACACACCTCTCTCTGCCTCCCTTCCCGTCCCCTATAGCCCTCACTACGCCATCACTTTCTCCACCGCTCCCCCGTGCACGGGGTGCCAATGCCAAGTGAGTTGAGTTTCGGGTGTACAGTGGAATATCGGTCAGAAAGAAAGGAATTAATTTACCAAAGTTCATCCAATCACATTGATCAGGAATATGATTGTTTCTATAGAAATTAACTTATTACAAGTAGGTATCAGAGGATTTTATATTGGTTCAACATTTTAGAAAAATTGATCTGGAAGTGCTTATTTCATGAAAGTTTGCCTGATTTTCTAATTGTGCCTAATCATTCAGGGTATTATAATTTAATCATAAACTTGTTATGCTGTAAAAGAGTCATTTCCGACTTTATGAATCATATATATCATATCGGCATCAAAAGCCGAGTCGATCTAGCCATCTCCGAACGAAAATTTTTAATTTTTTTTTAAATAAAGGATAAAGGGTTATATCGTTAAGTTTTTAAAAATTTGCAAAAATTTTAATTTTCTCAAATGGTAAATTGAGTATGCAGATATTAACCTGCTAAAAACTAGCACAGGAATCCTTTCCGAATTAAAATTAATGCCTTTTTGGGTTACTTATGGTTTTTTTAAATTTGGATTTAACGAAAAAAAATTGTCATATAAAAATATCAATTAATATATTATTTCTGAGCCATATTTCGGCATGCATTAGTCATGTAGAAAAGGAAACCATGATTTTTGATTACGTCCATTAGAAAGCCTCAAAGCCAATTAGCCATATCCATATCTTTTTATATTTTATGACACCATTTCCAGGGTTTCCCCTAACCAATCTCCACCGTGTAAGATTTCAATATATACCACATATTGAATAAGACTTGTGTATAAACAGAGAAACCCCGATGGCAAGTTAATTTCCCCTCTTTGGAGGAGGCGCATGGCAAGGTGAGTAAACAAAGTGTCTTGCTCGTGGCTTCCTCTTGCTGTTGTTCCTACCTTGATTCGACCAGATCCAATTGGGTCCACGCACCACTCGTATGCCGGGCGGAATGGAGGCTCGCATGGCGGTTAGTTGACTCAGAGTTGGATGGGTATCGTGTGTGATTCAGTCTCAGCTCGCTGCGATTCCGGTTGCCAGTCGATAGCCTTCGCCTGCCTGCAAGGAGGATACATGTGTGACATTTGACATTAGTCGGTTGTGTCTGGGGCGTCGGGTCAGAAGGAGTTTGATGATGGGACCCGCGCGATGATAATTGGGTCAGCTAAATGGCGCCCCAGTCAGCGCATGACTGAAGGGAGAAACCCGCACAAGACGCACATAAATGTGTTGGAGGCTGCATGAGGCATATGCTGTTCGAACAGTACAGATATGGCCTTCTGTCGCACGGTCTCCCGATCGCCAGGGCCAGTGCCAGTGCCACTGCCTCGGGTTCCGTTCCAGGGAGCTTGTGTCGTTGTCATGGTGCGGGTGCAGTCGCTCTCGCATGACGCATGCCGATAAGGCATATATACATATATATATGTATGCCCCGTTTTCGGGAGGCTCCTAGTAGCCACAGTAGCAGCTGATAAAGGCCAAATGTTGTGATATTTCGTCTTTCGACAACCGTTTGGGGACTTTAGTTCTATTAATTGACCCGCATGTGTTGTTTACGAAAAGTATTTACGCGCACACACATTCACATATCGCCTCTCACTCACATCGTCCAAGTGCGAACGAGTATATATGCGGAATCGCCCTCGGTGTGTGCGCGCTGCGTACATATGTGGAAAAATGATTGGGGCACAGCAGCTTGCTTACCAATGCAATTGGGGAACACTGTCGCAAGTCCAGCAGTCGCTGCTGCTGCTCCAGCTGTTTGCAATTGAAAAAAAAAACTTTCGATTCTGCTCCTCGGCCTTAATGGTGCATTTTATGCGCGCGTGCGCTTTTTATTGGACATTTAGTGTTTCCTTTCGCCTAAAGTGCATGGGGACCGTTGCTACGGTAGCCAAATTGGGCATTATTCACTCGATCGCGCACTCTATTTCCGCACTCTTCTTACACACCGCCGACGCACGAATGGGCTCGAGGCTAGGGGACATAACAATTTCGATTTTAATTGGCCAAAATTCACAATTTTGCTAGCTCTAAAATAATACAACTACAATTTGGTCTGCTTCTTCTTCCGTTAGGTATGGTCTAATGGTGGAAGTGCAAAAATACAAGTGGTATCGATACATTCGATTGGCGGCCGTTCGCTGCAATCGATATGCACAACAAACCCGAACACATGTTACTGTTGTGTATTTCGGCCCGTAAAAATATGAAATTTTAATTGTTTAACCTGCATGGTTAGCTGTACTTAGTGCTCGAGTGGATGTAATGAAAAGGGCTGCAACAATGGACCAGTTACCGTATCAGACAGCTATTAAGAAGGGTAAGTTCTAGAGTGAACTGACAAGGGTTCAAGGAATAATGGTTTACTCTTATGTAGCCCAGCTAGTGGAGAGGAATCCCCAATGCCAGGTGGATCCCATGCGAGTATCCATGCACGAGGAGGAAGACATCATAGCCCTGGCCCAGCAAATCCAAAATGCCGATAGGCAGCTGAAAAATACAACTTGCCACAAGCTAGGCGTTATTATGGATCAGGTAAGTCACTCAATCTTTGGGCTATCTGGCATGATACCAATTTATTGCTTAACAGATCAAAATGCTGCAAGCCCAGGCCATGGAAATACTTAAGGAGTCTAATGTTAACCGAGAACTTCATGGTGCCGCCTGCAACTTCAACAAAAAGCCCGGACAAATCTATCATCTGTATCAGAGGGCATCGGGTCAAAACTATTTCAGCATGCTATCACCGCAAGTATGTTTTTGATTTTAGTCTGTTTGAAACCCCTGCTAATCGCTCTTCTTTCAGGAATGGAATCAATCGGTTGACCAGACCTTCAAGGGAAGCTACAGACTGGAGTTCGATTTGAGCTGGACACCTGTGGATAAAATTAAGGAGCAGGATGAGAAACTTAAGTGGACGGAGCAGTGCCTCCAAAAATCCATGGACTCGACTATGGCCATTGATTTTAATTTAAGCAGTGACTAAATTCTACAATAAAAGTTAAGCATAATGTAATAATCAAGGCAGAGATAAGTTTCAATTCATTTTAGTCTATTCAACAAACACAGTTTGTAGGGAAGTCAATACTCTGATTTCTAAATTCATTTAGAGTATTTTAAATGAGTAATAGGGAAATACACTCTTTAACAATGTTTTGTAAAACATATAAAATCCTCCTCGCAACGGTAATTTCGTGAACTTATATTAGAAATAAAAAATATCGTAAACAAATTAAAATATATTGAAGCACTACTGCTTATCGACTACTGCTATTCGACTAACTATCGATAACTGCAGGTTGATTGCAGTTTTGTTTTCACTGCAACAGCTGAGATCCTCTACACTTTTTTATTTGTAACTAAATTTTTTGTTTGTTCTGTTTAATTTAGTGTTTCGTTCAGACATCAAAAATGTCCGCTCCCAAGAACGAGATGTACTACAGCCTGCTGGAGTGGTTTAAGACACTCAACCTGAATGCTCCGCACTCGGACGCCGAGTCCCTGGCCGATGGAGTGGCACTAGCCCAGGCGCTGAATCAGTTTGCCCCCGAATCCTTTACGGACTCGTGGCTGTCGAAGATAAAGGCCAGCGCAGTAGGCAGCAACTGGAGGCTGCGGATGAGCAACCTAAAGAAGGTCACCCAGTCCGTGTACGACTACTACAGCGAGGTGCTCAACTACTCTCTGAGCGATTTCGCCAAGCCCGATCTGCAGCGCATCGCCGAGAAATGCGATCTGGGAGAGCTGGAGCGACTGCTGCAGCTGGTACTTGGGTGCGCCGTCAACTGTGCCAAGAAGCAGTCTTACATTACAGAGATTATGTGCCTGGAGGAGGAGCTGCAGGCAAACATTATGCGTGCCCTCCAAGAGCTGGAGTCCACACGTACCGCCTCCTCCCCGGAGGGCGGTGTGGTCACGTCACTATCTCGGAGCTCTATCAGCGGCATGCTGGACAGCAAGGCGGTACAAGAAGAACGTGACGCCATGGCCCAAAAGTGTTTTGAAACGGAAAAGAAAATGCTTTTGCTTATCGACGAGAAAACCAATCTCCAGCAGGAGTTGCAGAAGCTGCAGCAAGAATTTGCGCGCCTCGAGCAGCACTCAACGGTCATTGGTGACGACGGCGTCTCTTTGGGACCGGTGCAAACCGGATCTGTGCGCTACAACGAGCTGCGCCGGCAACTGGATCTTCTCAAGGAGGAGCTTATACAGTCGGAGGGAGCCCGCGAGGATCTGAAACTCAAAGCCCAGCAGCAGGACACAGATCTCCTGCACATGCAAATGCGCATAGATGAGCTAATGGTGGGTATTTGTGGCACTCCCTTTTAAAAACTTAAAAATCCTCCTTGGTTTTTTTTACAGAAAAGTTCGGCTGAGGTGACGACACTAAAGGACGAGGTCGACGTGTTGCGAGAGTCCAACGACAAGCTAAAAATTTGCGAGGCCCAACTAGACACGTATAAGAAGAAACTAGAGGACTACAACGATCTGAAGAAGCAGGTTAAAATATTGGAGGAACGTAGCGCCGACTATGTCCAGCAGAATGCCCAGTTTGAAGAGGAAGCCAAACGGTATGCAAACACCAAAGGCCAAGTGGAGCTGTTTAAGAAGGAGATACAGGATCTGCATGCCAAGCTGGACAACGAGAGCAGTAAGAACGTTAAATTGGAGTTTGACAACAAGAACCTAGAGGGTAAGAACCTAGCGCTGCAGCGGGCCAAAGACAGCTTGCTTAAAGAAAGGGATAATCTTCGTGAGACCGTCGACGAGCTGAAGTGCGGACAACTATCCTCGAGCTCGGCCCTAACAGGCACCACAGTCTCTCGGGAGTTGCAGCCTTCGGCTGCTGTAGAAAAGCTCCAGCGCTTGGAAGCCGAGAACAAGGCCTTGCGTGAGGGGCAGGGCGGTCAGACCGCATTGGCAGTGAGTCATCAAAGATAAGACTACCTCCAGGCTCAATTTCTATAGAATTGTTATTGCAGCAACTTCTGGACGATGCCAATAAACGCTGCGAAAATTTGCGTGACCAACTGAAGACAGCCAATGAACGCATTCTCTCCCTCTCACATGCCTCCCAAAGTGATGATCCCATTTTGAAAGAGTAAATATGAATAAACATTTAAGATTTATGTTTGTAACGTATCATTCTATCCCAAAAGGAGTGAGTTCGGCAAGCAGATCAAGCAGCTGATGGAATTAAATGAACAAAAGAGTGAGTAACCAGAAAAATGAATTAAACAATTATAATTTAATACCCAATAACATCGTTGCAGCACTCCAACTGGAGGAATCGGTGACCCAAAGCACGTCGCTGCAATGCAAGGTGACGCAGCTAGAAACTAATTTGGCTGCCCGAGAGCAGGAGATTCTAGCCTACGATGCTAAGTATCGCAAGTGTGTTGAAAAAGCCAAGGAGGTGATCAAAAGCATTGATCCCAGGATAGCCAGTGGTTAGTCCTTAGAATAAAATATAAGAATATCAGTTTAAATTCCAATTTCCAGCTCTAGACGCCAGTGTCTTGGAAAAGAGTTCTGCCGAAGTAGCTGAGGAGGAACCTAAGCCCAAGATGAGCGTGATGGAGGAACAGTTGATGACATCGGCCTTCTACAGATTGGGTGTAAATGCCCATCGCGATGCAATAGATTCCAAGTTGGCTATCTTAATGGGCTCTGGCCAGACCTTTCTTGCCCGCCAGCGACAGTCGGCGCCCCGCAAATCCCTAAGTGCAATGAAATCTAAGTGAAATGCAATAACCTGATATATATAGGCTAAGGACTTTTCAGTACTGAGCGTAGTTCTGATTGCAAATTTATATAATTATTATATATATAATGAAACTATTTATTGGACCTTTGCATGGATCTATACTATATAGTATTTATAGAAAACCACAAATAACAACGTACTAAAATATTCAATAACTCCTAAAAACAATTCCACCAACAAAAAAGTCCTTTGTTTTATTGTAAATATCTTAGCTTTTAATATGTAGAATTAAATACATTCAACGCAGAGCACAAATAAATAAAAGGGTAGCTCTCCTCGACTCTGGGAACCCATCTTGGAGAGGAGAGAGTCTCTTGGGCATTGGCACAGATAGGAAATGCAATTCGAAAGGGAGCTACACAGACGATCGGTAATAACAATAGGTTCCTCTCACACTTGGCGATCAGTTGGAGTTGGGATGCATTCCGCCGGTTGCCGGCTGGTTCGCATTCAACGAAACTGCTGCAGTCTACATACTTGGTACATATAATGGATCTCTGACCCCTGCCTGCCTGCTGCTTCACCATGGCCGCCACATGCTCTCGTCCTGTCCCACAGCAGCTGCTGCTGCTGCAGCCGCCGCCTGGGCCATGTAGTGGTACTCTTCCTCCTGGCGCTGCCTCAGTGCTTGGCGAGCAGCCGTGCTTGTCTGCGGCCGGGGACCTGCCTCCGGTGCCTCGTTCTCATTGGAACCGATACCGCTCTCGGATCGGGGAGACGATTGCTGCGTGGGTGGCATGGACTTGAGCTCCGATACCGAGACTCCCGAGCTAACAGACGCTGCCACCGAAGAGGGCCTCTCCGCCTGAGTTATGGGTATGGGTGTTCCAGCCGTAGAGGTTGCCATGGCGGAAACGTTGACTCCAGCGGAAGCAGCCACCGCCATGCTGTTGGCATAGGCCGCAGCGGCAGCGGCAGCCACATGAGCCGCTTCCAGGCTGCCGGGAAAACTGGGACTGAGCTTTCCCGCCAAGTGTGGCTGCACTCGCTGCAGCTCGATTAGGCGTTCGAAGTCCGTACGCGTGGCTATCGGATCCACCAGGGGCTGAGTACTCAGACCAAGAGCCGCCGCCAGCTGAACATAGTGGGGCGGGAGGACCAGGACTCCGTTGACGGGATCCGGCTGCTGCTGCTGCACCTGCGCCTTCAGCTGCTGCTTGTACTGCTCCAGGACATTGGCGCACACCTTGTTGCGATCCTCCTCGTAGCTCATCTCACCTGGAACGGCCACATCCTGCGGAGACTGTTGGCTTTGAAGCTGAGCCTGCTGCACCTGGATTGGAACAGGAGTGTGCGCCTGCGGCTGTTGTCCCCTATTGTTATTCTCGTCCTGAGGCGCTGGCGTTGTAGGTAAAGCTCTCTGCTCGGGGGCTACTAGCTTTAGACCCTTGCTATAGTCCACCGGATTTGAGTCCTGGCTGCTGTAGTCCAGAGAATGATCCTCCGGTTGCGACTTCTTCGCCTGATTCAGGTCAAAGCAGCTACTGTTGCTGGGACTCTCGGCAAAGCTGGCCGTGGAATGGGGGCAGATCTCCACATCGATCTCAGCGATGCACTGGTCCAAGTGTCGCAAGAGTCGCGCCTTGGAACCCGGCTCCGCCAGCGTAGGCATGGTGCCCTGTGGCGGCGGTTCCGGAGTGGCCAGGTAGCGAGCAACCTCGCGGGCGCAGTCCGTGTAGCCAGCTCGGTATTTGTTGACAGCTGAAAAGGGAATAAATTAAGTAATATTTGCATTATTAAAATATTATTTATATTTAAAGGAATTAAGGAATCACGTATTACTTACAAGGATCATCGAGATTGCGATGCCTTTGGAAGTGACGCACAGTCAGCTCCAGGATGTCCGCCTTCTCCAGCTTGGTGTGCTTTGCCTGGCCCTCGCCATTCTTGCCATTTTGGCTCTTGGTGGACTCAAGGATGAGGGCCTTTAGGATGGCCAGGCTCTGATTGATGCGCGCCCGCCTTCGCTTCTCCATGAGTGGTTTGTTTGTCCGCTTGCTGATGTCCTGCGACGAGGTCACATTCTGCGTCGAGCTGACCAGCCCGATGGACTTTATGCCGCTGCCATTGGTTGAGCCGGCGGCTGTGAATCCGATGCCTGATCAAAAACGAGACACGTTTATAAATTACTTTAAATTCCAAATTAAAAGCTTTAAGGAACTCCAGGTGGGATTCCCAAAAGAAGCAAGGGTTTATGGATAAATTCTTGGTCTTGATCAAGGTCATTATTAAGCTGTGATTGCTATTTTTAAATACTTTATTATATTTAAGACTTTTATAGTGAATCTTATTATAGATCACAAACATTCGGATTTTAAGTATTAATCCTGATATATTTTTTAGTTTTAAGATAGCTACACAGTTCTTCTGATACAAAACTAAGCTAGACAAATAATTTGATATATTTTAAAAATATAATTAATTTTTGAAATATATTATATTTTTTTGCTGGCTTATTTTAGTAACTTTTATTATTAATCGAGTTTTTGAAAGCATCCACATTTCACATGCTCTTTACCCACAGGTGTCTTTAGATTGCGATAGCCAAAATGCTTTCTTTATTATTCAAGCTTAGCCTTCTACAAATTTTGGTTTTCTTTAATTGTTTAAACTATTTATTTTCCTTCTATTTTTCGCGAGACTTTTTAGTTTTATTATTTCACAAAACTATGTGAACTTGTTTTGTTTGTTTAAATAAACAATTGAATTGTTCTTCCACTAATTTTATTATTTGATTTTATATTCACGGATATCTGAAATATTTTGTTTAAAGTCAGGCCTTGATCACTACTTTAATATTCAATAGTATAAATATGCAATATCTTTGCTGTCTTTTATTAAATTAAGTTTTTTAAACATTTATTTTACCAGATGCTGATTTATTTTTCGAGTAATCCTTATCACGTTTTGCTGTCATTTTCTCATTTTAACGGAATTCACAGGAATTCGTCGGCCGTTAGCAGGAAACAAGAGCCCAGGTAAGGCTTGTAGTATTATTTATTAATATTTTTATTTAATATGAAACGGAATTCCTTTCGACCGCGTCAATAAAAATTACGTCTTTTTCTTCAGACAATGTGTGCCGATTTAAGCGGAGCGACGAAGGACATGCGTCCGCACTGTTCGAGGATTCACGGCAAACTGAAGGCGAATGCCAAAAACAACTGCGACTTTTCACTTCGGTTTTACACACACCGTCGGATGTATGGCTGGCTTTGGGATTCTTTGATTTTCCGCTGCCGCGTGCGCCTGGCTTGTGCGAATTTTCCCGACTGAATCGCTTGGTTAGCTCATGTTGCTGCCACCGCTGCCGCTGCCACTGCTGATGTTGCTGCTATTGCTGTTGCTAATGTTGCTGCTGGCGGTGGCACGAGCCGCCGTCCTCGTCGTTGTCGTCGTCGTCGTGTGGCGCAGCAACCAAAGCAGATTGGAGTCAACCGACAATAAAAGCAACAACAACAACAACAACAACGACAACAAAAACAATAGCAACACCAATCAGCAGGAGCAGCAGCAGCAGCAGCAACACCAACAATGGCCAGGGATGTGGCAGCAACAGCAGCAGCAGCAACGCCTGGCTGCCTGCCACGTTAATGGTGGTTGTGGTAATGGTTGCCCCACCGACCTCCGCACACACACACACACACACACACACACTTAGTCGGCGAGAGCTTAACGACGCAGCGGAGGCATGTTGCCAGTGGGCGGTGGGTGGTCATGATGGCATGGTGGTGGCATTGGTGGCGCGCTGGCTGCGGCAAATGTCAGGCAGCCCGAGCGACAAGCCGGAGCGACGTGCCGCCATTTGGACGGACGGCGTGACCATGTCTGGCTTTAGCACACACACACCGACACACACACACAGCCACTCAAACACTGACACAGTCGTAGACACACGAACCCACACACAGGCATACAAATCAATTCGCTTAGGCGCAAATACCAAATTACCCAGCAGACATGGCGGATGAGTGATATTTGCGGGGACTGGCCAAATGCGTAGCATACTTATTGGGGCAAAGTAGGAGAGTTCCCTCTTTGAATCTAATTCAAGAAGGATAGTGATCTGCTAGTGTTATAACAATGCTTTTTGTATATTTTTGTAGCTTTATTTTTAACTAAGTGGAATTGACACTTTTTTGAAAGTAATTGTTAAAAAAATCTCCAGAAAAATGTACATTTAGCCAGGTCTGTAAAGTATTCCTTCTTTATGTAAGAAAAATAAATATAAAAATTAAAAATAAGGATAAAAATAATTACTCATGTTCGATAACATGTTTATTTATTTTTGAATCATTTTATTTGAATTAATAACCTTTTTTGTAATATTTAAACAGAACTTTAAAATTCTGTTGATTTATTTAATTTCTAAAAGAAAACTCGTGATAAAAACTCTAAGATCCATTATTTTATTCCTAAAAAAACGTATATAATAAAATTAAAGTTAGCTAAGGAATTTTTGCTCATTGGGTGAATCTCTGCGTCAACGGCGTGGCAAGGCGGGTCTGTGGCCTGCGGGCGACGAAGCAACGCCTCCGACCGACTGACTACGGGTCGTGCGGGGTCAGTGGGGGACTGGGGAATGGGATTGGGACCTGGTGTGGGTGTGGGTGTGAGTTTTGGGTTTGCGTTAGGGATCCCAGCGACGGCGGCGGTGTGCGGGTGTGTTTGCTGTCGCTGACTTTGCCATTCGGCTGCCCGCATCGAAATCATAACACCAACGAGGCGAAACTTCTGCGGCGCGGCAGTCGTGGTGCAAATAATAAGCCAGGCCAGGCGACAACGCGGGGAGCCAGGCTGGAATTGGTAAGCACAGGAGCAGGGAGCAGCGAGCAGGAGCAGCGAGCAGGGAGCAGGGAGCATGAAGCATGGAGCAGACCAGGACTAGGCAGCAGGCGACAGGGAGCAATGACGGCAGCCAGACGAAGACAACTGCGACAGTGGCAGTAGAAAGGACTATTAGATAAATACGCTCGATGGTGCGAGTTTGGTGGCTGGGCAGGGATTGGGGGCACTGAGCTTGGGCGGTGGCAATATCGTGGCAACAAAGTTGATGGCAACAAATTGCAGTGGATGTGGCCCCCAGCCGGGCTTAACAAGGTGCGCCACGCACAACCGCCAACGACCAAACAGGCAACAACAAGTGCCCCAAACTGCGTGATAAACAATATGGAAATTCTACATTGCTGCAGAGGAGTCATCCAGTCAGGCAGATAGCCGTCCCACATGTGGCGGATTCACACAGGACTCCATCACTTACATCCAAAAACCAATCGAATTTGTACATCCCATAATGCGTCACAAGTCGGCAGGATATTCGGAGCTTGGCTTAACATCTTTCACGACGGATGAGTGGCATTCACTGCCGCATTGCATGCAGGACGATATATCATATATATTGTCAATTGTTTTATTTATGCCGTGTTCACTGCAAGTTCTTTTAATTTACTGATGCAAAATTATAAATCGGATTTTAAGTTTATAGTTATTTGGGAGCAAAATTCTTAACCCCAATTAGTTTGGATTTATTGCAAGGCTCTTTATTTCTGTGAGGCTATTTTTGGTTTTAGTCTTATATGAAAGGTAGACTTTTTATATATCTATTACACTATCGACACTAAAGGTAATTAACCTTATTTATATTACAATCTATCCAAAAATACAATGTATCGATTGTACTTATAGTTATTACGACTGTAATGTGTAATTATAAATATAAATAGCTAAAGAGAGGTGGGAAAGAAACCTTAAAGGATAAATATATAATCATTTTCCTATACATGTATTAAATTGAATTAAATCCGTTCCAAAGTAATTCGTATAATTAACTAAACCTCATTGGCAAAAGATAAAATTAAACAATTAAGACAGCTCATTCCCAGAACTGTTGAGACACTCCTTCTGCTATCACTTAATCGCCTTAGTGGCACCTTTATTCCTGGAATGCATAACGACATTTGTGTGAATCTGTAAAAGGTGAAATCTATGTGGGATAATGAGCAATTAGCAGCCACAGCTTAAAGCCGAGCTTGATCCTGTGGATACCTCAGGCAGGACTTGGAATGTGAGGCGGCCGTGCCTTCCCTCACCTGGGTCGTTGGCACTCATCGGGTTTTTTATGCGGCCTGGGCCAGGTGCAATCACAGAGTGAGCGCACAAACATGGTCTGGGTACAAAGAGCTCTCCAACTGCGCACGTGGCAGGCGGAGGAGGGGATGAGGATTCGCCAGAGCCCCGCCCCCCATCTACTTCCACTTGGCTCATGTTGCCAGCTGCCGTTGCCGCCAGCCAAATTACTGAACTGAACCGAACTGAACTGAACGATGACTTGAATGCTGCCCCCGCGGCTGGATGGCAGGAGCTGTGCGCCAGGGTCTCGGGCAGTCATGTGGCGCTGGCACACACATAAATCGTTTATAGCCACACCGAGACCAGGCAGGCCGCCACCAGCGTCATCATCGTCATCGCTAAAAGCTCTGCCACGACCCTGGCCGGGCTCTGGCTCTGGCTCCGGCTATACGGCTTTGCCTCCTCCACATCTCTATCCTCTCCTTGGGCTAAACCCACCAGCAACAGCAACAGCAACAGCAGCAGAAACAGCAACAATGCCGCCGCCTCACTTGCTGCCGATGTTTCTGGTCGACTTGACAGGCAGTGGGGCTGCCGCTGCCGTCGTTTGCCGCCACTCCACATTCAGGCAGCAACCTGCCACCCATCCATACCCAAACCCAAACCCAAACCCAAGCCCAAGCCCACTCCCATCCAGACGTGCGGGAGAAGTGGCAGTGTAACAGCCGGCAGCAGGCCACATGCAACCTTCGGCCACGGCTCGGTGACTGTGGGAAATACCCTGACGCGGTGAGAGGCAAAGGAAGCTACACTTGTCAAAAATGTACGGGTTTGTTTTCTATTTAAAATTAATAAAAATTAATGTTTAAAAAAGATAGCAAATCGGGGGTTGTAAAATAAATTGAAAGAGGTTTACAAATGGCTGAAAAAGTATGCAAATGATTTGAAATTTTCTTATTTAATTCAAACTCTACATTGATTTCTAAGACGCCCCTTTTTGAGATTTAAAATATTTCAATTAAATAGAAATACATTACATAGAATAAACTTAATAGTTTTCCAACTTAATTTCAATACTAAAGTAAAACATATACTTCCTAGTTTGTAACTATTACTCACTTAAAAAGAATTCTTTTCCGTGCAATACCCTCCGCGACTGTCGTAGTTGGAGCTGGAGTCAAAGGTATAAAAGGCAAGTGAAGCGCAGACAGCAGTGGCAGCCGGAGACCGGAGAACCAAGGTGGAGGCGGAGTTGGAGCCGAGGGAGTCGAGGTGGAATGCGAAGCAGGTTGGAGACGGATCTCCTGCTCGGTCCCGGCAACAAGAACAACAATAACAATGCAAAAGGTATTGGTGGCAAAACAGAAATGAAAATCAAACTGAGGGAAAATGCACACACACACACACGAACACACACAATACCCACGAACACAGATGGGAAAGCCCCACAGGAAAAGCTTCGGAAGTGCGCTCCATGCCGCAATGGCAACGGAAGCAGGACAGGACAGCTCGAAAGGGACGCGGCGTGGCCGGGTCTGGTAGGACCAGGGACGAAGGGAGGATTGGGAAGGCAGTTTGTCAAGTGGCGACCAGGAGGGGGGTGGGAGCGAAACGAGACCGAGACCAAGGGCGAGGGCGAGGGCAGGGCGCGGAGGGCCATGACACGACCTGCTCCTGCCGTTGTGTCGGCTAAAGAGAGAAAAATGACTAAATCAAAAGGAAGTGCGCCACACTGTGCGGTGTAAGAGCACGTACAATACGCCGGAGCTTCACTCTACACCAGTATTAGTGTGTATGCCACTGTGTGTCTGTGTGTGTGTGTGTTTGCAAGTGTGTGGGAGTGTGCTGGCGCGTGCTTCGACAACCGAAAGCATGGCAGGCCGAGCACACGACAAAAGTGGCAAATGCAAAGTCAATGAGGATCTAGGAATATCAAAAATTATAGTTTCTTTAGTTAAAATAAGTATAAAATGGAATAACAGAGATTTTTACTATATGGGAATAGTTAAGCCAAAGGAATTTTGATCTACAAAGGTTTTATAATTTCAGTCAGAAGCTTATAACTTTATGAAGGAGTCCTTTTTGTAAACTTATCCTATCCTTGCTCTATTAGAAATTGTATTTAATATTTCCCCAACATCCATCTCAGATCCTTAACTTTTGTCGGGTGATGTCCTGGCCGCAATATG